TCCCTTGCGTCCGAGGATTGGTCCAACTCCTCACTGAAACTGCCTTGTCAACACAGACGCCTCTGGGGCCACCACCCCCCCCCCCCCATCTTGACAAGATGCTGTTACTAGAAGAACAGGAAGATAAGGACTCAACGGATGACCTGTCATTAGAGAAAAGATGTGAAATCATGTTGTCAGCACTAGAGAATACTCACAGAGCAATACTCTGAGATTTTGAGAAAAGGAACAAGAGTATAAATAAAAACAGGGGGAAATTGTAGGGGAAAGAATGCTGGTTTTGCATGACACACCTGATAAGAATAACAAGAGTAATTCACAAAAGCTTAAGTTCCTAGCCTGATGCTAGAAGACAAGTGGTATTTTGTCACCTGTGATGACCCACTGGTCAGAACTAGTTTCAGGTAGATGGAGATACAGAAAGGCTTGGGAGAACCTGAACTTTTGAACTTTCATCTTAGTACGCTTGAGTGATGAGCTCATGCATATTAACTTCTCTGCCCTGGAGAGAGCCAAGGTCCGTTTCCACGAACATGCGACGTATGAACACATCCATAAAGGGGCGTGTCGGGAGGCAGTTTGGGAATCTGCACACCCTGTAGTCCTCAGCCAGTGCGGAATCAGGGGAGGGAACGTGCGGCCAGGAGGAAGGGATATAAACCATTGCTTGATGGCTGAAAGGCGCGTCCTCTTGGTGGGGGGCCTGGTCTTGCAAGAACGTAATAAAAAGTGCTTCCCAACCCGTCCTGTCTGAGCCATTGATCCATGGCAGTTGAGCATTTCTCACAAAAGTATCAAGGAACCACAATTCTGACTGCCTTTACAGCCAGACAGCCCTCTTCTTCCTAGTCTTCACTTATGCCCACAACATGGGGATAAGTGAGAGACAACTATATTGGATCCTCAACATCATATGGTTCTGTAAGTAATTTCAGGCAGGAGTTCTTTTTATTGATGTCTTCTCTGAGAGAACGTAAGAAATAACACTCTCTTCTGTGAGGATTTCTGACAAAAATACACAGGTCAGCCAAAAACACGTGGTAAAGGGGTGGTGTTAGCCTAGTTAGGGCAAATGCTACTGCCTTTTGCGGGGTCTTGGGCTACTATGCTGCAGCACACACGCAGATTAAATAATCCATGTTGACAACAGCAAGCACAGCATGGGGGCCAGCCACAGCGCAGAACCTAAAAGCAACTTCCTGGGCTGAAGGACTATTGCAATGATTGTACAGTCTTGTAGCAGGAAATTCCCCTCTGTTCAGCAGCTAATCTAGTTTACATAACATCTAAAAATTTACGCAGTGGTACTGACTGTTTCTGCATACAGTGCTGCACTGGTCCACACTTAACCTCTTGTTCTTGGTAGCCCAGGCAAGCACAAAAGTATCATGAAGAGCTGGAGTTATGCCTGGGTCTGTGCAAAAAAAGGCAGACAGCACTAGAAATGTTACTCTTTAAAGGCTTTAAAATTAAAAAGTATCTATATGAAACAAAAGTAAAAAAGAAAAAAAAAGTTGCTCAATTAAGATAAGGTTGGTGGGCTATAATATAGATTGAAGGAATCTGCCCAAGAGACAAACTCCTTAACAGCCAAGGTCCAGCCAAAAGCCAAGGTGAGAGATATAGCTGAAGGCAAGCACCCCCCACACCATAGCTCAGGGAGAGAGGGAGGGAAATAGGGGAGGTGGGGAGAAGGGGGCAAGGGCAGGCCCAGGGCTGAACTGGAATGGGACTACTGGGCCCATTGGTGGGAGTGTGGTCCCAGGTGAGGCTGATCAGGGGCACTCGAGCCTCTGTTGGTGCCCTCTGGTCCATCACAGGGCCATCTGTAGGGGCTGACTGGTGTGCCGTGATTACTTACTGCACACTTCTCACATCTTAAGAGGGATCTGAAAGGAAACCACTGTCCTGTAGGTGAGGTACAGCTGGTACGGTCTACCTGAAGTGCTCCAAGACTTGTTGGTGGGTACCTGGGCTCCCCAGGAGGGAGTTGCAAGAGGAGAATCTGCCAATTCTGGTTGTGAGGACCAGAGAGTAGGTATCAGACCCATGCGCATATTTTCGGGAGGTACTGCCAGGGCCCTCAATGTACTAATAGGCCTTAATGGCCCTGACCAGCCTCACCTGGGACTTCTACTCACACACATCCTATCCATGGGCCCAGGAGTCCCATTTAAGCTCAGACTTGGGCCTTTAGTCTCTGCCTGAGCTATGTTATGAGAACCATTCCCTGGTTTTGTCTCAACTACATGTGGCCTAAACTGATTCTGACTCACAGACTGATGTTCCAGCTTGACCTTGTACCTGCCTCGTCCCTGGGGACCTGCCCAGCAATCACTGGGCTGCATCTGATCCTGGTTATCCTCACCAGACCTAACCCCAACCTGCAGATTTATTTGGGCCTTATCACCACAAACTTGACTGATGATCTGGACTCTTGACTGAACCTGGCTATCATCTTTAGGTCTGTTCTGCTCAGCTTGCTTGGGTATGATGGGATGGTGCTCTGCATAGCAAAGCCCCTGGCTTGGCCAGCTCCCACATCCCTTGAGGATGTTCTGTGGTAGGTACACACTCTCCTTGGATCCTGTTTTCTTGTTGGCAGTTCCTTAAAAGGGGAAAGTGTCAGGGTTGAACGAGGAAACTTGTGGGAGAGATGGTCACCACAGCTCCCTGAATTTCAGTAGATACCCCTGGCAAAGGCAGGCAATGGTGCTCTATAAACAAATGGGTGTATTGGGAGGGTCATACCAATTTTGGTTGGCAAAATGGAGCACTGGTTGCCTCCAGGCTTGAGTGAGTGTGTAACACTGCCTAACTCTGTAGTGCTGAACCGAATTTGACTCTCAGGAAGCAGACTTGACTCGGCACTTACAGTGAAGAGGACTGTTGATGTTGATCACTCAGATCTCTAGAGAGGTCTCCAAAGACCTGAGAATCCCGCAAGACCTGGGTTCACTTCAGCACCAGGAGCCTGAGAAACAACCAAAGTATTCCACCTTGCTATGAACACCTAGGAAGCATCATGTGGCTAACAAGGCCAAAGAGCTGGACTTGTCTGCCTACTTACAGGGGTGTTTTTTACCTAAAATGCCTCCTTGTGTGTTCCCTGTATTGCCCTCACCAGGTCTCAGTGATGGGAGGTCAGACTGCAGCTACTTGCAGTTGCATGAATGGAGGTTTCTTCAGTAAGGCAGCTTCTTCTGATGTCACCTTAAAGAGAGGGACTGCTGGCAAATGAGAAGGCCCTGGTCTGATGTTAAGCTAGCTGGACTGGGTGGGAGAAACTACTGGCAAATTGCTAGAAACAGCAGGTAAGTGGGAAAAGGTGGTAAAGTAGCATCTGGTGCTGAGAGAGGTGGCAGGATTGCACAGGTGGTTCAGCAGAGTGATGTGAGGAAGGGCTGAGGCCTAGAGATGAGAACACTGGGCACTCAGTGATGCTGCGTAGGGCTGGGATGATCCTAGCGGCAGTATGGTCCAGTGTTCTTCCTTATTTTATGCTGGAAACACACTTGGGAATGGTTTACCTCCATGCTGTCAGCTTTGCCTCATCGCCTCCGTTAGCAGCAGTATGTAGGACCACTGGGCGGCACCAGAAACCAGAATATGGATTAAGTTTGGGCACTACCTTGTTTTCAAATGTTTGGGGCAAGGTCCTACCGGTGGTAAGAGGAAATGCCCTGGGAATGCCACACTATCCTGGGAACCATGTATTTTCACTTAGAGACGTTCCTGAAGAGGGGGAGAAAGGCAGCAGGAGATAGAGGATAGCACATGCACTCCTCAGGAGTGTGGCTGGAAATGCCAGGTGTTGCAGAGCTTGCAGTTTATTGGGGATGGCTACTCTCACAGAAAGAGCACAGCCCCCAGAGTCAGGTAGTGACTACAGGGACCAAGGGATAACCGTGACCTTGGGGAGGTCTCCCCCAACATTCATACATTGCCAGAACCTCCAGTGGGGGAAGGAACATGCACATTTGTTGGGCCTACTAAGAATTTAGTCGTTTCTGGACTAAAAAATGAACCAAAACAAACACAAGAGGCTTTGGAGCAGCATCAAGGATTGCTAAGGCATGCTCCGTTACCTTGCAATTTGCCTCTCTCTGGTCTCGGGTAAACCCTGGGACCCAGCTCTTGCTGCCCTGACCTCGCTGACAGCTGGGGCTCCAGCGGCCTGGCAGCGCGCAGGGCCGACCGAGAAGCCTCCTGCTCCGAGCGGTGAAGCGGCAGCTGTGAGAGCGAGGGGGGCCGAGGCGGAGGGGAAGAGCTGGGCCCGGCGGGGCGCGGAGGCCAGCGCCGCTGAGGAGCCGCGACCGCGCCGGGGGGAGCAGCAGCAGCAGCAGCGTCCCCCCCCCCCGCCCCGGGCGAGCCGCTGCAGCGGGGCCGGGGCCGGGGCCCGGCCCTCCGGGCGGGAGGCGGTGCGGCAGGAACTGCCCCCAAGATGGCGCTCAGCCCCGGCTCGCCGCCTCGTTTGTAGTCCCGGCGGCCCCCCGCGCATGTGCAGCGGCGCGGCGCGCAGGCGCAGGGCACCCCGCGTGCCGCGGCGGCCGGAGCTGCGGACGTACCTGCCGGCCAGGTGAGCCCCGGCAGTGGCGGGAGGCGGGCCCGGCGCTGGCCCCGCGCGGCCTCCGCGGCTGCCGGGCGCTGCCGTACCGGCCCCGAGGCGCTTCGCTGCCGCGGGGTAGCGGGTCCCGCACGGCGGCTCCGTGAGAGCCGGTGTGGCGGCGGCGGGCGGACCGGGGCCGGGGGCCGCGGGCGGACCGGGGCCGGGGGCCGCGGGCGGACCGGGGCCGGGGGCCGCGGGCGGACCGGGGCCGGGGGCTGGCGGCGGCTCTGCCTGGGGGCACCGTTTGTGCCGCCGAGCCCGGCCCCGCGGCGTCGCCGGGGGCTGGTGCCGGCGGGGGGGTTACCCGCGCGGGGCGAGCGCTGCCCGCGGGCGGGTCCTGCCGAGGCGGCCGCAGCCCGCGGGGGCCTGGCGGTCGCGGCCGCCGCTGAGGGAGCGCTGCCCTCCCCTTCGCTCCGCTCCTCTCCTTTGCCGTTATGAGACGCCGGAGGAACGTACTGCTCCCTCACGGAGCTGCCTTTAGGAAATAATCCCTCGTCATAGCGGGCTTCGTTGGGGAGAAACAGAAACGCCTCGAAACTGCCCCTGTTTTTATTGCAGAGGTGATTTTTATCATGTAAATAACGGAGTGGGGTGCTCAGGGCTCTCTGCTTGCTCTCATCTGTAGCTTTTCTTTTTGGTATGCAGATCTCAAAATTCCCGATTATATTATTTACTTTGGAGAAGGAAAACAAAGTGTTTTTCTTTAACTCGGTACCGTTTTGTCAGCTTGTGAATGGGAAAGGAATAGCTTGTAAAATTTCTCTTGCTGACTTGCATCATCACTTTAGGTTAATGTCCATTTTTTTTTTATATTTAGTGTAAGTCACAGGGAGTAATTCAAAACATTGTACCAAAGTCAGATGCTTCTACTATCATAAAAATCATCATTATAAAGTCCGGCACAGAAAAATGCAGTGTTACAAAACCAATGATGCAGTATAGCACTGTCACTGCCTTTCCAGGAGGTGTTGAAAATGCTGTCAGCTGGCTCAGTGATAGTGCCTTGGGGTGTTGCATTGCTGATTGAGAGACTGGTGTCTGATCTCTCTTTTGACTCCTCTCAAGTCCGAGATGTCAACCCAGTGCATGATCAAGTTGTGATACAGTGCAGTCACAGCGTGTGAATCGTGGTCAAAGTTTGTAGCCGAACTGGACCGACTCAGTGTCACGCATGTTTGTTCGGTAGAATGGGAAAGGTCTGGCGAAGTGTCAGGGGGTTGCATCTGGGAAGTCCAGAAGAGTTTTTGTGCATGAATATTGAGACAATGAGAAGACGGGGGTTACAAGTAGAGAAGATTCCGCTCCTGTTTCCTGTGTCAGGCACACTCCTCAGTCTCCTGTGTTCAGACAGGAGGACTTGGGGGCTCATTGCTTTAGCTTCTGCCTTTCCTCCTCTGTAGAAACAAGGGGACAACAGTCTTCCAAATTCTGGAGCCTGTCAAGCTGTGTTTAGCATGAGTGTATCGGTCTATGGTGAAAAGTAAAAAGGTAATATAAAGTCAAAGGGCTGAGTGTGGAGCTTTTCTAGCACAATAATTTACTTGGACAGGGGGAGAAGAGCTTGCCAAATGTGTGTGTCTTTCTGAGCTGTGGGTAGACTCCTGAAAAATCAAGGCAATCACTGGGATTCATTTGGATTATTGGCCGTTGGACTGGGATTGTGGAGAGGGCTCAGGACTAGCAATGACTGTTCCAATTTCATTTATTTGTTTGCTTGGGATTTTGAAACTTGTTTGTGTGTGGCACACAAGACACTGAAACTTGTCTTGAGGGCAGAAACTTAGCGTGGGCTATACTTGGCTTGTGTTGAGATATTTGCAAATGTAGAAGCTGGAAAAGTTATAAAATTAAAATGAAACAACTGCTGAAAGCAGCATTATTGGAGGCCGTAATTATATGTCTAGCAACTCATTTTGTATCTAAGGTTAAAAACCAATTGAAATTAACAAACCTGCTTAATTTGCATTTTCCTAATCTCAGATCACCTTCAGAAATTCTCCAGTGCTTCTGTTTGCATCTTATATTTCACATTGGTCATACATGACAGGATCTTTAGTGTTTTTCATTGGAAAGTGTAAGTGTAGTGGTACATTTAGATTTCAGAGGCTTTATTACATAAAACATATATTTTGGTTTCTTAAAGATATACTTGGAAACTTTATTGAAGCTACTTTTAGGACAGATTTCTTAAACATTCTTCTGTTGCACGCTCTAGATAAGTGTTATAGCAAAGTAGTAATATATAGGTATGGAATTTTCAGTAAGAAGCTCAAAAAATTATGGCCATAACACAGTCTAAACACGAAAATAAAATACAGGAGAAAGCAAATCAGCTTTAAAATTGGTGTGTGTGTGTGTGTTGGTTTTCATATGTAGCAGAATAAGGATTTTATTTTTTAATTATTTCATTGTCATTTTCACAAATAGCTCAGCTGGATTGCCACCACTGTTGCTTCCTGGCAAAAGGTCAAGACAAACACTCAGTGAGTTCTATTTCTGTAGGCAGTGCTGACACCATAACCTTCTGTTATCAGGGTTCATCTTGTGCTCATCATCTGTCAGCTGCATCTTGGATATAAGTAAATATGCCTCTGCTGCTTATGACTCTTAAGCCTTGTGTCGGACAGTTGCGCAGTACTAGTTAAGACTATTTGTGTGCATAATTATTACCGCCTGGTTTAATCCCTGATAGTTAAAGGAGGACAGAAGAGTGTTTTGCTACTGTTTCTCTGTGTAATGTTGAAGAAAATGTTCCTGATATGTGCCTTGATGTATCTCAAGGGTCTCCTTTTCAAATGAATGTTGTTTCAGAAGAATGATAAAATTCTCTATTCCTTTTCTTTGTGAATTCTCAGTATTCTGTCCAGATCAGGTCAGTTATTAAGCAAAGCAGTTGTGATTTGGTCCTAACATGGGAAAGACTGGGTGACTGTGTCTTCTACTGTGCAAATCAGAGTTGAGGAGATTTTAATCATCTCATATGGTATTCAGTTCTGTTCTTGTAAACTCTGAATTGTAAATGGGAGTTGCTGGATTTTTAATAATACATTCTTATTGATCATTTACCTTTTTCTGTCTGGTCATATCTCCTTGGCTTCTGTGTCTGATGTAGCACTATGTAATGCAGTAATCAAATGGATGCTGTGGGAAGCATAGGAAGGAATAGCTTTGTTTTCATTTGGCCATTGTCCTTACCAGACTTGGATGCGTTTCTGTATTTACAATGAGTTTTAGTTCACCAAAGGGGTGTTCCTTACTCTACATAGTATAAATATGGTTATAAATGCGATGCTTAATTTTAGGGTAACCTTTACCATTCAGTTGTGTATAAACCAGACTTCCTTCATAACTACCAGATGGATTGAAATAGTGAAACTGTCCCTTTTTTTTTTTTTTTTCCCCACAAGAGCTGGAATTATGGCTTTTTTTTTCTATGTGTTTGAACAGAGGATGTAGGCAGTCTGCTGCTCCCTTTACATCTGTATTTTGGAGGTGAAGCTGTGTGCTACATCTTAAACTGATCTAATGACTGGTTGACATACAAAAGGGCTGGTCCTATTCTTGCACTGTTTTGTACCACCTTCAGCATTTACTGGATGTTTTCCTGAATCAGTTCAGTTTGCTAAATAAGCAGAGCACTAATCCAGCCCCTTTGTGTTTCCATTTCCTCAGAAGATCAGCTTTTGCCAGGTAAGCAAGTTGAGTGAGTTCAAAGAAGGTCTGAGTAGTACCAGATGTGTAATTGATTTTTGCGGTGGAAGAACAGCCATAGAATCTGGTGGAACCATCTAGTCTGCTGTGACCAAAAAGAGCAGGGCAAATTATACAGACCTCTGTTTGATAGCCCTCTTGTGTCTTGTCAGCTGTAGGATGTCAAGATGTAGGCGTTGTTTGCATTTATTTTGTTAATGTGTTTTATTTCTGTGAACTTGCCTGTGCCTCCAGTCCATTTAAATGTAGAGCAGTGATATATCCCAGGGGAGAGCTTTCAGAGCACAAAATAATGTTGTAGGTGCTAACTACCTCTGCTTGTTTTCTTTTGAACTTGACAGCTGCTAGCTTCATTTCATATCTCTTAGGTTCTGTATTGTTTGGAAACAGCGAACATCTGATTTCTATTTACCTTGTCCATGCAACTGATGATTTTATAGGCTTCTGTCATATCGCACTGCAGTAATCTCTGTTTCCAGGCAGAAGAACCCTAGCCTAATTGATTATTCCTCATTATTCATCTTTTCAAACCTTGTTTCCTTTTTAAAAAATATTTTTCCCTTCCATTATGTCCTCTTGAAATGAAGGAACAGACATTGCATCCAGGACTTAAGCTGCAGACATTCTATAGCTTTATATGGTGGTTTAATTAATAATAATTTCCTAATACTAGTTTTTTTTGTATGTTGAATGGATGTGAGCTGATGCTTTTATCAGTCTGTCATGACTCCAGCAAGACTTTCTGAATGTTAATGACCAGTTTGGAGCACATCACTCTATATGTGAAATGAGGATATTTTTTCTTCGGACTGCTACTTTATTTGCACTGAATTTCATCAGTTATTTTAATTCTTGATTATTCAGTCTCCTAGGTTTTTTCTGCAGATCTTCAGGCAGCTCTTCTCTTTACTATCAGACTAGCTTATATCCTCAGGAGACTTTCACTCCACTCCTTGCCCCTTTTTCCAGATTGTGTATGAATAAACTGTGTAGCAGATTACTGCAAAAGGCTCCTGGCAGTCTCCCTCTCTGTGAAAATTGACCATTTATGCCTACTCTCTGTCATCTGTTTTCATCTGGTTTTGGTCCATGCGAGGGCTTTCACATTTATCCTTTAGCTGCAGAGCTGCTAAAGTTCTGTAGCTATATGAATGTTATCTTGTATTTCAGTTTCACCACTGCTAGAAACACATGCCTGTGAATGCCCCTGCTAACGGAGAGGTTCTGCCTCTCCTCGCAGCCCTTCCTGCTGCAGGATGCTCCCCTCCAGCATTCCTGCTGCTGTGCAGTGAATCTGCTCTGAAAACTGATCTGGCTGGAATTGAACCTAACAAATTATAAATTAATGCTGATTTAGTGTTGCTGTACTGGTAGTATACAAATGCGTGCGTGGATTTAATTAGAATCTATTCAGTTAGATAAGTGCATATATATATATGCTTGTTGCTGATGATTGAAATTGTGACCTTACAAACTCAACTGTAGTCTAGACTGAAGGCAGTGTAAGTGTCTGTGCACAGACTTGCACTTTTTATTTCAAATTGGCATGAATTGGGTGCTGTAGTTAGTATGACTTGGAGTAGGAAGTGCACCTAGATACTAACTTGATCAATTTTGTGAGTGCCTCTTGGATGCTTTCACTGTGCAGAAAAACAGTGAGATCGTGGTTTAATATCTGGAATACCTTAAACAAAGACAGTGAATAAGGAGGGGGTTTTTTAGTGGATTTATGTAAATTAATAGGGATCTAGTATTACTTTTTATCCTATTTATGGACTTCATTCTAATTTGTTAGGAACAATTGGATCATAAATATTTAAAAAATACGTAACTGGAAATTCACTAATTT